GTTTCCTTTCACTGTGTCCCTTCTCTTCGCCTTTCTTTAGACTCTTAATGGGGTCTGGCAGTCATCAGGGATGGCGATTATGACTTGCGCGTTCCTCTACAGTGTATCGATAGTGGGTAACTTCAATCTGGTTCGCTTTCCCCGTGTTATTTTTACACATTATTTCGCCTAGACCTACAGTCGTGACCTTCTGTAGGCCTGAAATTGTCTCGAAGGTTTGGGCAAAATAGTGGAACAACAGCTGAGTAATTGCCGGGGAATTTCTGTCTGATCAAAACATCAGACTGTCTCTGCTCCTTGTGCTGAACGCGAGGTTAGTCGATCCTCCAAATGATGGTCACGTGCCCAAAGAACATGTCACTTTGGTGAAGCGAAATTCTGTTGGCAGACCTTGGCGTTGTTTACTGGCTGGTTTGTCCGACAAGGTTTAAAAATCACATGGCTGAACGCTAAAAGGTGTCCAAATCAATTCTGTCACGTGATTTATGGGATATCGTTCCGATGAATAACAGAGAACAATAGACAAGCCGTTTTTTACGAATAAGCTATGGGCGTGGCCTTCCAGTTGGCCAACTAATTTGAATGAAAACTTTCCAAAATTTGCTTTTCTAACTTCTGGAAGACATCGTGCTTCACTCAAAACGGAAGGCCGGATTTCATTTTGTAATACTCGTTTTCTGTTCGCCACATCTTCTTTGAATGTTGTTTCAATTGGTGAACCACTACACTGATGAGTAGTATATTCTCCCTTCAATCTTACCGACACTCTGATCGTTGATGGGTGGTGAGAGTCAAGCGGGTTATGGGGTTTATGTACCAGTCACCGGAATACCAAAGGAAGATGATGCGAACAATGGACGATGAACAGTTCGCAAAAAACTAGCAAGGCCACTGAAGGTTAGTCATTCGCTGTAATCTTCGAATGTACTGAAGAAGATCTGAACCAAAGCTGGAAAAGTGACAAACCATCACATCAGTTGCTGGACACGTGGGCCTACACAGACCGACGAAATTTATCGGTTGAAAAAAATTAAACCGTAGTATGAAGGATCCGAACCCGATCAAAATGTTTCTAAACTCTTCCAACCCACCAAACGTGAAATTTAAGCGCCAAAATCAGTCAACACAAACTTTCAACTGACGGTCTTC